AAAATGGCCCTATTTTACAGTCTAAACACACAGAGTGTTTCTAAATAATGTGCAAAAGCCTTGAGTTCTAGGGATTTGTCCTCCTTTCTTGGGTGTTGAATTATGCATTGCATATGTTGTTCTCTAGCCAGAGTAATCTAATGGTTAAGCTTCAAGTGTAGGACTGGGAAATCCACATTAGGTGTTCTAATCTTGATTTAGGCACAGATACTTGCTGAGTTTCTTTGTCCCGGCCACTCTCCCTCAACCCTAGAAATAATAAACCAGTTCTAAAAATGCTTCCAAGGAAATTGCACAGACTTGCCCAGGGAGATGCCAGGAGACCAACTTAAAGTCACACACACACACACACACACACACACACACACACAGAGAGAGAGAGAGAGAGAGAGAGAGAGAGAGAGAGAGAGAGAGACTCCTTTGCTGCTTCAAACAGAGTTCCATAAAATTCTCTAGAATTAACTTTTCTTTAACATATGTTAAGTGGTCTTGAAGTTATTGAAGACAAAAGAGAAGTGCATAATCTGTTGAATATTTTTTTATTGTTATTTTTTGAAACAAACACTTAAGGTTAAGATGGTTTGGCCACAATTAAATAGATTTCAATAACTGTTTCATAAAGCAAACTAATGACAACGAACAGAAAGTAGAACAGCAAATACCTGGTCACAGCAGTTGTTACCTCATCCTCTTTGTTTTGTATAAGAACCCAGAACAGCTGGTTCAGAATCACAGGAAGAAAATTCACAACGACATGGATCTTTTCAATTTTAAGTAAATTCTGATTAAGAAATCAAGCATGAACAGAGAATGATGTTGTAAACTTCCATGACTGTTATAAATTCATTTAAATCAGGGTACCCCAGGTGGCAGCACTGAGCCAGCCTAGGCAAAGTCTTGCTAAAGCTAAATTGGCTGGAGTTAGTGATTCTGGACTAAGAGATCACCAGGAAATTCCAGGAGATTAGACTAATTGGGGAAATTGAGTAGAAAATAAGGGAATGGCAAACCATTTCCATCTTGTTGTCATACAAATTACATAGAAATGTTAATCATGAATGAAGTCTGACTTGGTGGAGATGTCAAATATATTTCAAAGTAAAAGCAGTTTAACTCAGGTTACATATAACTCAACTTTCATTTTAAATAAGTTCATGGAGACAGTTACAGAGTTGTGCAACGTCGTTGTTGATTTAAACTAGATTGCATCTATTTTTGGACATTGTTAGAAATATACATCAAAATCTTCTGTATTATAAAGTATGTTCACAAATTGGATAATCTTTAATGGTGATTATAGGTGATTCAAGTCCAGAACTGAGCATGAAATGTCTGGATGAATTTATCTCAGATTGTAATTGCTGTGGGGACAAAATTATGTGTAATAGGCTGCCTTGAGATCCCAATGAAAATATAAATCAGGCATATAAATCAAATGTATCAATAAATAAAATAAAAATGTTTTTGGGCCTTTTCTGTTTCTATCTCTTATATTGGTTAAAAATTGTTTACCAATGTCTCCTGAGAGAAATAGAATTTTTAAGAGGATACTTGGAATAATAGCTAGAGGAATTATTTCCTATTTGAGCCAGCAACATATGGTAAATTGACCATTTAAGGGGTTTAGTTACTACTATCAGTTATTTGCTTTGAAAAATAAGGTAGTAACATAATGGTTGGGTCTAGTTCTACATTTGCAAAACTGAACTTTTTGCAAACATAGAAAAAACAATCAAGAAGATCTCTTCAGTATGGAAATGGCTACAGTGGCATTAATTATACCTTTTAAATCATGATTATATAAATAATGCTAAAATTACTGTAAACATTGTGTAGAACAGGGATGTCAAACTCAAGGCCCATGGGCTGAATCCGGTCTGCGGGGTGCTTAGATCTGGCCTGTGGGGCTGCCCTGGAAACAGGAAAGGACCAGCTTGCAATGCCTCTGCCAATGAAAACAGAGCTCGTGAGGGCCATATGCAAGGGCTGCATGTGACCTTCCTGAGCTTTTTCGCTAGCAGCGGGTTGCAGGAAGCCGTCGCAGCCAGAAACGGAGCTTGGGAGCCCATTTTTGCTGGCAAGAGCACTCAGGCCAACACAGATGCCCTTGACATGAGTGATATTGAGCTGGCCTTGCCCACCATGGCTACGCCCACCACAGCCGTCTGAGGTCAAATACAACCCTGATGCGGTCCTCAGTGAAATTAAGTTTGACAAATATAATGCAGAATTTATCATCCAAGAAAAAACAATGCTTAGTCATGACAAAAAGAAAAAAAATAGATAATAAAGATGAAAAAATATGCAACCAAAATTCTGTTTTTAAAATCATGTTTCTGGTGATCTATGGCATACCTCTGGGAATGACTTTTTCTATTTTAAAAATCCATACTATCAATAATGAACATAGATATATAGGAGTTCATAAATAATTTTACATGCTGGCTTTTGGGTTAATGTTTATTTTTATGTTCAGTCAATTTTATTTTCAGCTACTCTGCACTCTTTAGCAATGTATAATTTAGCATTATGCTAACACATGCACACAATTCAAAAGGAGAATTAAAATATATAATATTCATCCATTAGCACAATCAATACCTACATAATTTCTTATTTAACTTACCTTACAGGAGATGATAAAACTTGAGGTAGGTGGCTGAGAGAAATCTCTCTTTCTTTTCTGGCACTGCAGGAAAAATCTATTCAGATATGGATCCTATAGCAAATGTATATAAAAAAGACAGGTTAGTATCAACAAACGTGGCATGCAGAGTTTAAAAAAATAACTGTGCAGTAGTTAGCAGATAACATTAAAAGTAAATCAGTCCCCTAAGAGACATTTTTCAGCAATTGTTTAAAATAAATAAAATATTTCCACTTTTGATACAATCTAAGCCAAATTTATTTCAAAAACTGCTCCATTCTCTTTTCCATCAATCAGCCAATATAAATAAATCCAGTGTGGCATCTGTGCAATAAGAATAACAATGATCTATAGAAGAACATTCTGCAGTTTGTCTAAATACAGTGTTTATGCTTTGTTTCAATATGAGTTATATTAAATACTGATCTGAGGCCTGAAATAATAAGGGACTCGGCTTAGAAATATAATGCCCAAAGGTGCCATTGTACACGTGACACTTCAATTGTGCACTCCAAAATTAAATTTTAAAAATTTAAAATTTACTTTCTAAAAACTTGAAAGATTGCCAAATCTTGCAAAATTAATTGCTATCAAATGAAGGTTAAGAAAGTTGTTAAAAGTCAAAACTTCCTGAACTTTGATAATATCATTTAATTATAATTATTATTAAAACAATGATACATTTAAAAAATAAGCAGGGCAGCTGTCCCATTACATGAAATTGTAACATAACAAAGGTTGTTGACCTCTGGGCTAATCCAGGTATACAGAAGTATTCAGTTCTTTGCAGGGTTACTGCATCTTTTTTTGTTAAAAAAATAAACCAAATTTATGAAAATTGAACACTTAGGTAGATTGCAGATGAAGCGCTGGCTAACTGATCGTGTTTTTTTGTCTTTTGTTAGAATTGTAATACATGGCTCCAAAAATATAGCCATGGATTGTTTATTATTTTATTTACATTCTAAATGTGACTGTTTTTGCTGAAAAAATCAAATATGTCAGATTTGTTGTGTGTTGTTTTGAATATTTAAGGATAATCTTTCCTAAATATTTCTGTAAGTATCACATTGATTGTGATTTTCTATGTCAGAATAGCTAAAGGTAGAAGCCAAAATAATTTATTTCCTTGGAATCCAAATAAAAAATTCTGCATGAAACTCACACACAGACATTAACTACTTTTTTAAAACTTTGTATTTCTTTTGCTTCTACTTTTTCCCCCTTAGTATAGACAATGTTTTACCTGAGTGTAAACAGTAGATACAATAAACAGTGACACTTTGAAGAGGGGCTTTCCTCCATCCACCCACCTAACATCACTTCCACTCTGCTGTGAAAAAAGAAACACTCAAGTTAGCGGAAATAGATTCTTTTTCTAGCATATGATCCTACTTTATGTTTAAAACACTAAAAAATATTTTAGCACTAGCATAGTATCATCATTAGTATCATCACTTATAGATTGCATTAGTTGTTGTTTTTTCCCACTCTATGTCTCTGTCTCTCTCTTTCTCTCTTTGTGTATACAGCAGAATGTATTTTATTTATTAGGGTTCCATATTTTGCATACTGGCTCAAAAGAGTCCTTATTGGATGTGAATTCTACATTTTATATAAAGCCATAATAGCTAGACTTTTAAACAATTCTGTTCAGTAAGAAACCTGCTTTTGTTGATTTCTTCCAACAAATGTCAAGAAATGTATCATGAAATCAAATGCTTTTGCAGCATGTGAATAAACAATGGATATATTTTTCCCACCATTATTCTACGTAGAAAGGAAAATTGCTCAATTCACTATAAATAATAATAATAATTCCAAGGGCATTCCAGAGTTTTTCTAACTTCTAAAACACTAAAAAAATAGATTTCATTATGTTGTATGCAATGCAAATTTGATCGTGCACATGTGCCTAATTTACAAATTATCCAAATTGAAATGGTGTATTTATTTGCAGATATTCATAACGAACAGCAGTACATCATGATATTACACAGATGTATCAGTTATAAGCTTATACATATAAGAGATGTATTTTAATAAGCTATATAAAAACATGTGTCTTTACAATGCCAGCTATTGTCACGGGCCTGTGAAACCAAGGCGGGACTGAGCTTGTCAAGTGGTTTATTTCATTGCTTATTGTTATCAGAGGGATGGAAGATTATTGTTTTTACTCTTTTTATATTGGGTTTTTTATTTTTTGTAAGCTGCCTAGGGTCACTGAAAGTGAATGGATGGCCATACAAATCCTCTAAAACAAACAAACAAACAATCATTGCAAAATATGAAAGAAAAATCAAGTAATCAAAACTGTATGATAAAGGAAGGTATTTTCATATAAAATTATAAATACTCAGAACGGTCTATTATAAGAAAAGGATGTATGTATTGATGCATTTATTTATTTATCATCAATTTTTTTTTGCTTGGTTCCAATCAAACAAGTTAGGATTCAGATATGCACAAAATCCTATGGATGACATGGTATGTATGTGATAGAGCTATAAGATTGCTTTTCAAGGAATAAAACAAAGAAGTAAAACAATACCTTCCCAACTGCAGGATCCTGAAGATTTAAATAAGAGGGAGGTAGAATGGTTGCGACTGGTATGTTATGTTCTCGAGATATTAGTTGATCATCTTTTAGCAAAGGCAGCCAAGCATATCCCACTGTATTGAAAATAGATGTTAACACTAAAACATTTTGATATCTTTAAATATAAAAAAATAACAGTTATCAGAAAACAGATATTGTCTCAAATGCTTGACCTAAATCAGGGAAAGTATACAGGAATAATACAGACAATGAGTATTTGAGCAAAAATCCAGTATAGATACCTGAGGTTTCCAGGGCCTCTTTCTTTTTGGTATTAGCTTTTGCATTTATGTCACAGGTAATATGATAAAATGAAAATAGAATATGATGTTTCTTATGAAGTTGTGTCGGCAGTTCAATTTTTATCTGAAATGTAAAACGTTACATCCATCTTAAGTGTTAACTGAATGAAAGCAAAGAGAAGGTAGCGAGGCCTAATTCTGATCTTGGACTATTATTCTATAAGTGCTCTTAAAGGCCAAGATCAAAAGGAATTCATTACAGATAATATATGTCAGGATTACCAAGGACAATATATTACCAAGGTTGACATAGGAGGGGGAGGGAGGGGCAATGTGCTTATTTGGACTTTAACAGAGACACCAATCTTGATCCCATAAGTAATGTGCTTATTCGGGCTTCAGGAGAAATACCAGACATAGTCACATATCTGTAGGTGGCTTACAAAGACACCTCTCTGCAAATAAGTAAGATTCTGTATATTAAACTGAGCTCTTGATATCAAATGGGATTGTTGTTCTGAAGTTACCTTAATGCTGTGGAATATCTAGACCAGAGGTGGTGTTCAGCAGGTTCTGACCAGTTCTGGAGAACTGGTAGAGGAAATTTTGTGTAGTTCGGAGAACCGGCAAACACCACCTCTGACTGGGGATTTTACAGTATCCTTCCCCCCTGCCACACCCACCAAGCCATGCCTACAGAACCGGTAGTAAAAAAAATTGAATCCCACCACTGATCTAAACCTGCTGTCAGTATACATGAAGATAAGTGGTTTTGGAATAGAGGCAGCCATAGACTTGACCTAAGTCACTGAGGTCCTAATATATAGCAGGGATTGCAATTTCACATAATTTTTGTCTTTGGGTAATACCAATGTCAGTTGCCTATGGGAATCACTCTCTGTAACTGATCCCCACTATTCTTCAGTCTCTGATGCATAGTGTGAGGAGTCTTGTGGGGTTTTTTTGTATATGTTTTATATTCAGTTTTCCTTTAACAACCAACATTTTTGTGGAGAATGTAATGACTGGTTTAACATATTTTTCACACAGTGCTCACAGTAATAATACAATTACATATACAGAATTTTTAACTTCCAACTTCTAACCTTAATGTACTCATTATAATTATAACATATTCTTTTATGCATCAGTCTATATTATACCATTTTCCCGATTTACACTTCTTTATTTTTCCCATTTGTTGGGGTTCTTCTATATTCACCTCTTTATCTTTAAGCAATACTATTCTCTCTTTATGATTTTTATCACTTTCTCCAAAAGTATATGTAAACATCAATAACATTTCTTTATACAATATACTTATTAACTTCTGTTAAGTCACTAATATTTTAATATTATAAATGTCACTCAGTATTCCACCATATTTTCAATATCTCAATTTTCTATAAACACAACCAGTTGTGAATAAACTTTAATCAGTCCCAAGATTGTATCTCTAAATCCCCTGAATTTATAGCCCTTGAAAACTATATTTTCCAATATATATTTTTACATCCTGTTAATCATAATAATACATTTAGATATACCTAGTCCTAGTCTTACATGTCTTAATCTTAATATATTTATGGTTGTAATAAATTCTATTATATATCTATATATGTGGTAAGATTTTCCCAATTTAAACTTCCACTTATTTTCTATTGGCTTTCAATATAATTCCTGTATTATAGGTGATTATACCTCTATCCATCATCTCTCAGTCTTTTTAGAATTTCATCATTTATTGATTTTTTTTGGTGATTCTTTATATTTCTCTCTTGGAATCCTATATGTCTTTCTGGCATTTTTGCACAGACTAATTGTTCCTCTGCCTTACCCTTTATCTCCTGCTGCATCTTTTTTATATCCATCCATAAACCTTTCATTTTAAAAAAATCTTTTTTCTTTCTATTCTATTATAAGCTCTTAAGGGATTATCTATTTGATTTTTAATACTTATTATTACTGTCTTTTCAATGTTTTTATCTGCTTTTAACTTATTTTTTATCTTTTTGTAGTTTATTTTGCTTTGTCTTCAGTGTGAGAAGTCTTGTTCACCACTTGGAATGAGAGGGAATGGTAGTTATAGCCCTTCTCTGCCTGTGAATCCCGTGATTCAGGTCTCTAGAGCACCACTTGAGAAAATAACACTTGTCTTACTAAACACATCAAAGAGGCTTTATTAAGAACTACTTCATGGTGAAAAGAGTAGCAAGACATAAACATTGTTCTGCTTGTAACACATATGCAGTTAATTAGCTAGTGGACCTGTTTAGGATTGGCTCAGATCGTCCTGGGGAGATAAATCCACCTTGGAAGGTCATTGTAAGAAGTATTCAAGCCACATGGTGACTTGTATTTGGATTCTGACTGTGCAGAGCCTTTGGTGTAATCTGAAGTATAATTGTTGTGGTTAGCCGGCAGCAGGTGCAAACAGTGGAGGAGAGCGAGGACTCAGATGAGGGGCCAGGACCATCAGGGAGTGGACTGCTGCCTTCAGGGATTGTGGGAGCTGGCAGCAGTGATGAGGAGGTTCCCGAGGAGTCTGTGCCAAGTGCACGTGAACTCAGGATGATTCGTAGAAGAGAACAGCTGGAGCAGCACAGGTGACTTGGGAGTAAGGATGCAATATAATGGCCCCTCCCTCTAGGGAATATAAGCCTGGTTTCAAAAGGTTTTTGCCTTTGCAAAAGGCAAAAACACTCTAAGGACTCAGCATTGTGTGTAGAGACTCCAGCTTATCTGAATAATTCTGTCAAGCCTTTTCTGATTGGACTAATTGGCTGCAAGCCATCTTTTATCTACAAAGAAGTTATTTGTAGATTAAAGCTATGAAGGTTTGAGTTGCTGCGTTTGTTTGAAGGTTGGATCAGAACAATAATCTGCTAGAATATCTGGGGAGTATTTGAGCCTCTTGGTCTTGAGGAAATGGATAGAATCCTCAGAACTGTAAGCTGAGTCACCTATATACTAGGCTCATAATCTTCTTGGTTAACTCTGCCTAGGAGGTGAAGTATAGTGAGTACAGGCAATGGTCAATTGTTCCTTGAGCAAATAGGCGATTCCATCTGCCTTAAAGAAGTAGTGGTCCACACTTTGTTCAAGAAATCATCATGTACCTGGATATATTTTTGTCTAGTTTTCAATCTTCTCTTTTAGGGAAGGTTCTGGAGAAGGTGTTCAGCCTACGTTTTCAGAGAACTTGAAGAAATTTACTATATGGGCCATTTTCAATCAGATTCAGGCCTGGAAATAGTATTCAGACTTCAAAATGGAAATGGTATTCTTGCCTACTTGGATCTAGTAGAAGCTTTTGATAATATTAAATATATATATTCTTCTGATTTAGAGGTGTAGGAATAGAAAGGCATGGTGTTGCAATACTTCTTTTTCTTCTTCTAAGGTTGGTCCATTCCGTGTTGGCAGGTGGGAGAAAAGATCAAGTCCTAGGCACTGGTTTTCAGAGTTACTTAGCACTCTACATTCTTCCCACTCCTGTTTAAGATTTGCATGAACTCATTGAGATTTGCATGAACTCATTGACTCAATCCAACACTGAGCTATTCTGGCTTTTAAGGCCTTCCATTATCAGAGACCTTACATTATGTGTCCCTCAGTAGGAATTAGTGCATAGTTTGGGAAATCTCCTGGATTTTTGGCTTCTTCTAGAGAAGCAGGTGGTAGCTGTGACAAAAATGGTGTTTGTACAAATTAATATAGTGTTCCAATGATTCCCACTACTGATATTGGATGATTCTGTTCATGGTTGCTTATGCTCTAGTCTTCCCTATTTGAATAACTGCAATGTATTCAACATGGAAGCTGCAATTCGTCCAGAACATAGTAGCTATTGGCATGCCCATGGTATACCATTTCATCTATAAAGCCAGTTTGAAAAATTGAGGAAATGGGTGGCATTTGCACTCTTCTATTACAGGCCCATTATGTACAAGAGCCAACTGGTCTGATGGTTAAGGCACCAGGATGGAAAGTGGGAAACTATGAGTTCAATTCCTGCCTTAGCCATGAAAACCAGTCACTCTCTCTCAGTTCAACCCGCCTCTTAGGGTTGTTGTTCTGGGAATAGGAGGAAGAAGGTGTGTGGGTTATTTTTCTACCTTGAGAGTTATTTGAAAAATAAAGAAATAATATAAATTAAAAGCTCCTTGTAGAGGCAGTCATGCTATTTCTATGATTTCTTGTGATTTCTTGTGTCTTACTAAACTGCTCCCCATCAATAGATTTTGCATCATCTGAATTCCTTCTATCACATAATGACATCTGATGGAGCAGAGGAAATATGCCTTCTGACATGTTGTCCTGTAGAGTATCTTACCTCCGAAAGATGATGACCCTACCAAGAAGGCCTTTTGAAAGCAACTGAAAACCTGGCTGTTGTTATGGGTCAGTATGTTGAGTTATTGTGCTCTAAGAGTTGTTTTTAAGAGATATTATGTAGTGGAGTTGTGGTCCTCAGTTGCAAACAATTAAAGGCAACACTAATGTCCTTAACAATCTATTTTTTTCAAAAATATCTTTGATATAGTTGTCTATTATAACACCATGTAAAATTATAGATAAAGAAGACTGACCTCATCGCAGAAATCAGGGTTTTGTGAATGATGTAGCACAGCTGTATAAGCTGCTGATGTAAATAATGGTCCACCAGGCTTCCCATAGATACACTGTTTAAAGAGACATTGCTTTAAGTTTTGTGGTCTTTACTAGAAATAACTGATTCTGAAGTCATATCTTAGAAGACTTTTTCAGCCTCATAGCATCGCAGAACCTTTGGGCCAAAAACATATAAAAAAATTAAAAATGTCTGAAATCTAATGAGATTTCATGTGGAGAATGCCAAAAAAAAGATCTGACAAGCAAACTCACAAGATTTTGGAGTATTTTTTTCTAGGCCATTCTACAAGATTACATGATTGTACACAGAGTGTGAAAAAACTGATCTACATGGTATATACCAAGAGGAAAATTGATGACATCAGAAGTCAAAAATGACAAGAATCAAATTAGTAAATATATTAATTTTACTTGTTAAATAACTATTAATAATATTTTTATTTAGTAGTTCTAGCAATAGATTCCATCTACCTACTCCATCAAAAGGAAAAGATAAAAAAATGCTACAAACACAAAAAAACTTTGATGAGCTAATGACAATGATCAGTACATCCATACACGGTATGCAGAATACCTGAATTTGGCACTTCTCCTGCTGATCATTCACCTTCATCAACATGATGTTTACCTCAGTTATGAAAGTACATTGAGATTTATTAAGAATTTTGCATTTCATCATGTTGCATAAAATCTTGTCAGCAGAACTAGCATTTGCCAGAAAAGCCCTGCATTGACTGATGTTATAAATAACTGTTATGGAAATGTTGGAAAATAATAGACTGATGATTTTGTAAAAATTATAGATCACAATCACTTCACCACAGGGTATCCAAAGAAATCTGCTCCACCATATTATGCTGTAGCTGGAATTCATATTGACTCACCTTCACTGGCTTGGCTCCTTCTTCATCTGAGTTTTTAAATTCAATACACACTGTTATATTCCGTGCCTGTAATACAAATGCAAATAAGATCACTAGCTTTCCACTTAAGAGTTCTGTGAAACATGCAGTCTTTTCCAGAACTGTCATAATGCTGCCAGCTGAGAATAAAACCCAGAAGTGAAATAAATTCAGAGTGGAAAAATGGAATATAAAATGGAACTTCTTCATGATACTTCAGTTCAGCTGAATTATTTGAAAAGTAAATATATTAATATGAAAATATACTGAAGACTTTAAGCTTCAAAAATAATTTAAAAGATAGCATGTGCATGTATGCGCATATAAATGTGAATGATTACCAAGAAAAAAAAACAGAAAATAAAAACTGGACAATCTGCTTCTGTTTAATTTTCATGTGGATGGCTTTCAAACAAGTCCCAGGTTTTCAATGAAACCTATTTTGCTGTAAGTATGAATCACTAGTACATATTCCATTACTTTATAGTACCTACTATATTGCCATTCAATTTTAATATTGAAATAGCCACGAAAGGTTAATTTGAGGGAAGCAAAAAGAGAAAAATGTCCATCAGGAATAGTAATTCATATACGAGCAATAAGATCAACCAGGTTGTTTTAATATAAATATGTACACATGACTGAGATTTTAAAAACAATAAGTTTCATGTTTTCAATGTTGGAAAAATCAGCCTTAGGTGATTTAACAGGGTAAGTTGATGGTCTTCAATAGGGAACAATAAACAAATGAATCAGAAAAAGCATTCATTACTTCTGTTGCCTACCTACTGTTTTCTCACTGGGATAACCCATAGGTTAAACCACTCCAGCATTGTACAGGTACTTCTCAACTTATGACCACAATTGGACTAGAAGTTCCATTGCTAATCAATGTGATAGCTATGTAAGTCATGCCTGGCTTGACAATCTTTTCTGACATGGTTGTTAATGAATCACTGCACTTGAGTGAATCTGGCTTAACTCATTGAGTTTGCCTCTTGGAAGCTGTCTGGCAAAGGACACAAATGGCAATTACATGGCCCTGGGACTTTGCAATTATGATAAAATACATGCCGGGTGCCAAGCACTCAAATTTTGATCATGTGATTGGGTTGAAAGTGCATTGGTTGTAAGTGTGAAGACTAGCCATAAGTCCTAGCCCTTTTTTTCAGTGCTATTATAACTTTGAATGGTAATTTTAAAAACAGTTCTAAGTTGGGGACTATCTGTATTCCAAATTGCCTATAGAACTTATGAAGTCAATTTTTAATTAAATATGCTAAAGTTTGCTTGGCTGTTGTACTATTGATTGTCATACCTTGTTGAAGCATTTTTGGTTATCATATTTCAGATGCTTGGGATAGATATACATTTGGTTTTTATATATTTTATAAGCCTGAGAATATTTGGTAGATTCTTGAACAAATTCTTCCACTTCTACGGTTGGTTGATAGTCCTTGACATTTTTGAAGGGCTTGATTGGTATAAAAGATGATGTTACAGAGTCTGTAGAAAGAAAAACAAAAGAAAAACCCATTCACTATTAAAATATTGTATTTTTTTAAAGACTGTAATCTGCCAAGTCTATGAATGCACTGGAGCTTCTATCATTTTCCAGCAATAGTTACTTCATTACTTCAAGCAACAATCAGCCAATATATATATATATTATATATATATATATATAAAGAAATTTCTTCTTTTCCCCTGTTGTCACATGTATAATTTCCACATTGTTCCAAATAACCATTGGAGGTGTACCATGATTTTATGAAAGAGGGATTGCCACTGAAATTCATCACTCTCTATTCTGTTTATTATATGTGATCCTCCAGTGGAGGAACCCAATAATATACAATGCTTTAAGCCACAAAGTTTCTATCATGTATATTTATGTGGAATTGAAAGTTGAAATGGAAAAATATTATTAACAGTGGAAATCAAGCTAGTATTTCAGCTTATATTTAAGAAATTTAGAAAAGTATTTTTTAAAATAGTGACCCAGTTCTAGAAATAGATGACAAAATATAAAATATGATCATGAAGAGGGCACATTTTGAATTAGAAAATGTAGTCTTTCTAACCACCTTTCATTAGCAAATCCCATTATATATTTTATGCATAGTACCATGATTTCAACTGCTGCCCTATTAACAAAGTAAAATCTATATGTCTCTTGATCTTCTGCCTAAACTTTGCTCTTGAGCACAGCAACCACAAAAATCAATTTAAAGCACATAAATTATAAAGGAACAATCTTAAAACAAAAATATACACTGTCTTCTTGGACAGTTTATGCATTGTAGACTTTTTATAAAATGAGTTCATACTTGAATGCTCCAAAGGTAGCCAATCAACAGCAATTTCTAAACTTCCAGGGATGATCTGAATTTTATTAATTTTTTCAGTTCTGCAAACATAAAAAGAATAAAGTTTACTTTATTGATATCAAAGTAAAGTGAATGCCATAAGTAATTAAAATATGACAGATTTTAAAAAAATAGTTTATTTATTTTAATATTTCTATTAGCTCAATAGAGTTGCAGAAGTATACAATAGATGAACATACTGTATTCAAACAGCTTAAAAACAAAAAGAGTTATAAAATAAAAATGAAGTAAATTCATGGCAGCAATGGAAAATGTATAAACACATTAAAATGACAGGTTTAAAATTGAGACACTATAAAATTCTGATCTAGGAAACCAAGCAAATGAAATCCATCTCAAAACCTGCTCAGCTGAATCCTTCCTCATGTTCCACAAGGCCTTTACCACCAAGTTCACGGGGAAAAGATCACAAGCTTGATTGTGTGATTCAGAAAGTTTATTATATTTTTACCTCGGTGGCGCAGTGGTTAGAGTGTTGTACTGCAGGCCAGTTCTGCTGACTATTGGCTGTTCAAATCCCACCAAACTCAAGGTTGACTCAGCCTTCCATCCTTCCGAGGTGGATAAAATAAGGACCCATTGTTGGGGGCAATAGGCTGACTCTGTAAAACCGCTTAGAGAGGCTGTAAAGCACTATAAAGCGGCATATAAGTCTAAGTGCTATTGCTATTGCTATTATAATTGTTTATACAAATATAGTAAAAACTGTTATCCTGAAAAATGAAATACAGATAGTCTTCATTTAGTGACCATTCAAAGTTACAATGGCACTGAAAAAAATGTCTATCACCATTCTTCATTGCAGCATCTTCATGGTCATGTGACCAAAATTCAGACACTTGGTAATGGCATATATTTATGACTGTTGCAGTGTCCCAGGTACATGTGATCATCGTTTGAGAACTTCTGACAAACAAAGTCAATAGGGAAGCCAGATTCATTTAACAACTGCATTACCGCAGTGATTCACTTAACAACTATGGTAAGAAAAATTATAAAATGGAGCAAAATTCACTTAGCAACTGTTGATTAGCAATGGAAATTTTGGGCACAATTGTGGTTGTAAGTCAAGGTGTGCCTATATAAATAATTTTTAAAAATACCATCTATTTTACTAAGTGAGAACCGACTGAACTTTTTAGTGAAAATGGTTAGAAGCTCTCTGCTGGGTATATTCACAAAAAGAGTTGGGATTAGATTGGTGCCTTCTAAACAAAAGGTTTATGTCCTCATGTTATTGAAAAATGAATGGCTGAAGAGATAAATGGATATTCTGCCTATATCTCAAAACAGTATTGAAAGTCTTTAAGGCAAAATTATGAATAAGACTTGAACAGAGACTTATAAGACAAATAGGTTTTTTCATAGATTCACACATTGTGCCAAAAGTGGAAATGGGATCAATAAATAAAACATGGTTTGTTATTGACTTACAGGCAGTGGTGGGATTCAGCCAGTTCACACCAGTTTGGGAGAAAGTTAACCAGTTATTAACTTTCTGAGCAGTTTGGTGAACTGGTTGTTGGAAGAAATCATTAGAGCAGAGAACTGGTTGTTAAATTATTTGAATCCCACCACTGCTTACAAGCTATAATTGTTGGTTAGTACTCCTCATATCTGATTTATCTCTATGTCTGACCTAAGCCTCTAACCAATTCATAGATATAAAAATAAGACCAATTAAAAAAGGGAAAACATACTAAATGCTGGCCAAATAAGCCATTGTTTATTAATGATTTATACACCAAACAAACAATGAAGGCAAACAACAGTATGCTTGAATTACACTGAATTATCTTTTTTTTGGAGTCAGAGAAATTCTGCTGCACAGTAGTAGTTAGAATTATTCCATGGAACATTTGTCTAGAATTTAAAAAAACAAATTAAGATTTAACAAATCTTGCTTTTTTGAGTTTTTATAAGTCACCAAGCAAGTATACAGAAAGGATATATTGTTCAAGGAGGATGAATCTTAAACAAAACAGATGTTGTATAACAGAATACAGAAGCCGCAGTTAGGATATTTCCACACTGATGCTCTTTTCATTAATCAAACTTATAGACACAATTTAAACATAATCTGTGGTTGTCTTCACTTTTGCCAGCTTGAAATGCTGACAATCAGCTGCAGGTTAGGCAGCAACAAAAATGCCCTCATCCATTTCATAAGAGGAAGAATTATGTGCTGGGAGAAGAGTTTGGGGGCAGTGTTTCCCTTCAATAAAGAAATGGAGCTAAAATATTTAACTTTGCTCTGGTTTCAGCTATCACACAGTTGAGCAAGAAATATAACAGCTCAACTCTCCACAACTTGTTGATGAAGAAGTTCCAAACTGCCTTCAAAGAAGCTCCAAATTCTTTTGTGGAATCACCTTGGTTAATCAAACCTAACAATTTTCCAGTAAATCATTCTGCATTTCTATTGTTCTTTCTTTTCTTTTCCTCAAGCAGCCATTATATTTGTTACTGTATGAAACACTTCTCCAGTTTTCTTGGATAAGTTTTCTGGAAGCTCACTTTGGCAGAAAAGTAACTAATGTGAAATCTGTTCCATTGTAATAAATTATTTTGGCATTGGCACTTTTTGAGCAAACAAAGCTATTGATGAATAGTAGTTAGTACTATGTTGTAGTTTTAGAAACTTAAGCCAAGGACATCTTACCTTCTGTATTCACTTATAAGTTTAATTAAATCATCTGTTGAAATTTTGTTACTTTCTTGTCGGAACAAAGGTGAAAACCGGGAATCTCTGTCAATATTTCCCTGATTATCCTTAAAGACAGGCCTGTCAGGAAAGAAAAACAATACACAAAATGATAAATTAATCACTTGCTAATTAATTCTTATATAATCATTCTGAAAGCTTTGAAGTATACCAAACTAGTAAAAACTAGCCAAGGGTTTTTACTAATTCCATAGTTTCTTAATTATCCATGTTCCAGAAATCAAATGAGGCAGTAATACCAAATTAAACGTACTAACACTGGTATTAACACCAATATGAAATACCATGAAAATGACATCAAAGTAAGCTTCCACAGACTCATGAACACTATGAATTTTATAGTGATGGTAAAATTGTTTGCACAGTGTTCAACAATTGTCACCTATTAAAACATAACATTATTAAATCAAGAGCCACAGCCTTCATAGATGAGAATAGTGCTAAAGTTACTTGTATGTGTAGTTACCTAGGAACCAGTCTCACTGAATCCAGTGGGATGTAATAAAAAAACAGTGTAGATTAAAAAAATTAGTTTTCATATAAAAATGAATTTTCAGCCCCATTAATTCTTGATTTTGGATTTTATTCTTCATCTTTTATTTTTAAGCTTTTCCTTTTAAAATATAGAGCAAGGTTCTCTATTATTGCAAACCAGGACAATAGCTGAACTGGAGGATACATATCTGCCATAAAGAACACTTTAATTTTGTAAATTGTTAAGATCTTTTGCAGACAGGGTTCTAAATCTTTTTGAATGAGAATAATAGAATGGAAAAGATATGTGGAAAATATTTTGTGGGAAAATCAACTTTCCACGTCCAAATCGTATTTGCAAATTCTGGCAGCTGTGGTAGGAATATGAGAATGGAAGACTGACTTGTCACAGTGTAATGCTAAGGCATGTCGTAATTATTGACTCTCGGCAAAGTACAAATGGCATCTGCCCCAAATTCAGGATACATAAATACGCATTGTAATAATAAAAAAAAGACTTTTAGCTCCAAGTCTGGAAAATCAGGAATCTTGAAAGGATATGTAAATGTGTCCAATTTAGGCTATTTCATTTGGTTTTCTTGTTTAAAAAACATTTAAAACAAGAGCAGTGTTTGATGTCAGAAATTAAATATTGGAAACAAAATTCACAATCCAAGCTTTCTGCTTTTCATCAGTTAGGCCAATTTTTATGCAGTAAGTTGTGTGTGTTTAAGGGAAAAAATGTTTTTGAGATGGCAAGATTTTATAAAGAAAAGCTCAACTTTTATATCTTGGATATAAAAGGATATGTATGTATGTATGCATGTGTATGAATGTACTGTATGCATGTATGTATGTAGTATGTATGTATATATAACATTTTAATTGTTAGCTGCCTAGAGTTGCTTTGCAAAGTGAAATGGGCACCATATAAATTTAATAAACAAACAGGCAAACAATTAAATAAAAATATGAACAAGGTACTAATATTCATTCAGTCCAAAAGGTAGAAGTTATCCTGCTATTTGTCTTCAGGTGCTTCATGGGCACCAGGGGTCAGGAAACATATTGGCTTGTTACAAAAATGCTATTGGATATTAAATACAGTAATTGAACTATTGAAAATAGTATAGGGATGAAAAGCGGCCACCTGCAGGCATGAACCCCTCTAATTTCACCTTGCTCCTCACTTCATGAGTTCAACATTCCTGATCATATGAAATAAAGCCACATAAATATACACAGTTGTAAAATACATTTTTATGTTGTAGATTTCTTTTAGTCCAGACATAGGCCAAAGCAGACACAGAAAGATGGAAGGAAGAGGTAAAAGAAGAATTGTTGCCATTGCTATTACTACCATTGCAATCTCTTTTGATGTTCCTAAGTCAGTGGTCATCTGAACAGCAGAATCATGTGCTGGAAGTTGAACTGAGGTGGCTTCACTTTTGGCCACTTTATTCCTGTTGTCATCATTTTGAGACAAGAGACAAGAAAGAATAGTGGTGCCATATTTGTGCTTTAAAAATCTATACTAGCAGTTGTTGGCAGTAAAGACAGACAGCAGAGCATTCTAATTCTTTGTGCCATCTGAAAAGTTTGCTTTGGAACCAAGACAGCTATAATTTTCACTTCTCTAGTTTGGTAGGAATAGACAACTCAAGTCATGTTCAATAGTGAAGATACATTCAGACCAATAACAAACCTGTTTCCCTAGTGTTTCATAGCAATATTCTATCCAAACAACAAACTGACTTTGCTCAAGTATTGAGCCCAGATAAAGCTGGTTAGTGCTGTCATAGCTGTTATAATTTCTCACAAACTTGCATAATGATGTTGAATGGAGACTCCATAGTGTTAAGTTGCAATGTATGAAAACTATTGTTTTACTGGTATATCAAAATATATCCCTTTCTTGTTGGAGAGAAGCAACCTAGAACTAAGGAGAAATTTCATGACAGTCATAACAATTAATCAGTGGAATGACTAGCCTCCAGAATTGTGGATGCTCCAATACTGCAAGTTTTAAAGAAGAGATTGGACAACCATTTGTCTGAAATGGTATAGGGTTTCCTGAGCAGGGAATTGGACTAGAAGACCTTCAAGGCCCTTCCAACTCTATTATTCTTTATAATATATACTTTATACCAAAAACATAGAATGAAATAAAATATGATTTCCCTTAGTGAATAGCAAATACTGGAAACCTTTTAATTTTTCTGTTAGAAACTATATCAATTCACATATATGAAAACAGGGCATATTGTGCCTTGCATGAACCAATGCATTTTATAATTTCTAACCAGGTGCAAGATTGCTAAGACTTGATAGACATTTAGTAATTACATACCGTACAGACCAAGCAAAGGGCATCCGATATTTTCCCAACTTGTTGCAAAATTGTTTGTTGGATTTTAATACTTTCAGGGCCCACTAGATAAAATCGAAGAAAATGTTAAAGAAGGGTCACTTCAAACTCCATTCAGAATAATTTAACTTTAGACTATTGGTGACATTTTCATGATGAAGTACTATAGTATCATCATTGGAAAGGTTCTTCTAGGCCACCTAGCCACTTAAAATGATGCAGAAAAACCAGAACTAGAGCAGCACAACAGGTTGCCAGATAATTTCAGCCTGATAACACTTCCTAAGAATTATCACTGAGAAATTTTTGAACAACAATAGACATATTTCATGATGAACATGGATGTCTCACATATACTAGTTTTTTTCAAGTTTTAGAAAAAATCTTTTATTTTAATGAACACAATGCTCAGTGCTTAAATTGCTGAGATAAAAGCGGAAGTAGTACATATACAACAAATGTTAAAGATTAGGAAGAAAATTTAAAATATAAAATGATGTAACATAAGCAAAGGAAAAAAATAATAGGTTGCTTAAATCCCAATTAGCTGTCATTTGTACAATACAGTTGTACATATATACTCGGTATAGCATTGAAAAGGACATAATATTCCTGAAGATACCCACTGATGGAGAATCCAGCTAAACTCCCAGGGAATTGATTCTATTATTTTGACTTCATTAAGAGGTTTTGCTTATTCATAGAAAAAGGGATATATTTCTAATCTCAAATATTGTAGCTGAATAGTTAAAATCTCCTAGCTATCATACTTCTTCTATCTGCAGATCAGACATTTACCTGTAACAGTACGTGGGAATGGTCTTGGGAGACTGAGCCAGAGGCTGTCCCTAGGGTGTGGTCAGATAAGAGACAGCATAGTCTGCAGCTGAACAGTAGGCAGGGCAAAAGGCTCAGAAAAGATCTCCCCTAATGTATGTGCAAAGGAAATGGGGGAGAATTGTACTTTCACTTTTGCAAGATTCTGTTAAATTAGCCTTACAATAAAGTAGAAGTAGTTCATCTGGTCATGTTCCCTGTCTGGTCTACCTGGTAAGACTGATATTAGTGCAACTTACATTACTTATTTTTGGAAGCACTTAAGTTGATTATTGTTAAAAATTGACTCTTTCATAGAGAATAAGAAGAAGCACAAACAGATTGCATAAACAAACAATGCTTCCTGCTCCTATAGATTGCCAATGCTGTCTCCAGAGATGGCTTCTCTTGTCAATAGTTAATTTCACCCTTAGGATTTGAAAGCCATTTATGTTCCCGATTACATTACCTTGTTAGAGTCTGGGTTTCTTATATAAGGTTCTGCACTGGTAGCTATATTTCCCATGAGGACCTTTTCAATTTTTGCCACCAAAACAATTTCAGAATGGGGGTTACTAATGGAGAAAATTCCCTGAGGGTAGAAAAAAAAATCAGTAAGTAGCAATCTAGATACAACAAACAAGATATTTTACTTAAAGAATTATTCTGTAACATAAAAATGTCATCAACTCTAATTTCCAGTAATCCCCAAATTTCTACCTTTTTCTGACAAAATATCCAAATCCTTCTAGAGTAATTTTCTTCTACTGATGGGTAAATTTCCAACTCCTTCTAGAGTAATTTGGTTCCACTGATGTGTAATGGAGATTTTATTCTATTTTTAGAAGCATGGCATAAAAGGGAGTTATGGAGGTTATGAGGAGCCAATGGTAGGTTTCAAAATGTGTTACTGCCTATAAGCATCCTGAAAGAGTTTTGGTAAGCAACAAGGATTTTGTCAATCATTCAGTCGACTGGATATATTTTATTAAGAAGTTGACAATATTAAGGAGTTTGAAACCTGTGGCTGAACGATGCATAGGGCATTTGCTGATGGTATAGAAATCTTTAATGTCGTTCTTCATGAAGCAGCAAATTTCTTTACTCTGACAAGTTTTACATAAGCAGCAAGAATGAGATGATGGATTATTATAAACTAAGAGCCAATAAGAGGCCTACTTGAAACATCTGATGACAAATATAACCTTTCTAACCACCTTAATTGCAGACTATGGAAAGTTTTTATTCTTATTACAGATAACGATAATTTCATATTTTGCCCCATTTCTTTATTTGGAAATGTTGAGCTTGTGTGGGGATATACAACATTAAGAAAATTTGGAAAAAAATTGTTTTCCAATGTGATGTTCTTTAGGATTATTATCATTCCATGTAGGAATGGTGGGATTTACAGTTCAAAAATAATCAGATTTTACTCATGGAAGGGAAGAGTGCTTGTAACTACCCATCTACTGCTTTGTAATCATTCAAACCCAAATAAACATGACATACAGTTTTCTTTACTGATAACTTTCAACTGATGTTCACAAAGCAGATGCCTATGAACAAAGCAGTTTTGTAACCTGTTTGGGATGCTTCAGCCACTCTTCTGGGAATCCTTTAACCTGAGGTTCTTCATCTTTGTTGCCAGTTGTTTCAACAGTTCCATTTTCTGATGAGGATGATATCATATGTCTAACAATAATAGGATTCAGGTCTACATGGAAATCAGCAGAGAGCTTTCGGTTGTCCCTTAAGTCAAAAAGAGCCACACTCACAAAAAAGGGCTCAATCTGAAAACAAAAATATTTATTTATTTAGCCAGCCATCTCACAAATATGATTCTAATAATGGCTAATAATTTATTAAAATCACAAATCTAATAAGATAACAACATTAAATAACATATATAAAAAGTAATAAAAAATAAAATAAAAACTGAAATATATCTCAAATATGTCTACTGAGTTTAATATATTTCTAAGCTGTGAATTCAAGAGGTTTTTCAATAAATAATTGGAGTATTGTGTATAATTGTATGCTACTTTAAAATGCTAAACATTCAGATAGCATATAGCCTCTTTATTCCTACATAAACAAAGAAGGTTCAAATTGTGAAATTATGGTTATCAACCTAAGAACATGTTACTTTGTTCAAACTATGGAAACAGATATGAACTTTGAAGAAAACTACAAATTAGCCACAATTTTGAATTCATTTAATTTACTGGCTTGCTATTAAGATAGTAGGTCATGTTCCTAATTTGGAAACTGAGATTTAAATAATTTTCCTTATTTAATTCATATAAATAGGGGACTAAATACATGAGAAAATACTTGTTCATATCTTAACTTACTAAACTGAATCATGATCATACAAGCCAGTACTACTGATATATTTATCTTCTTTTACATACATTAATATTGCCTGTTTCATCATATGCTTTGCAGTTAAGAAAAAGCTATTATCTTGGGACTTCTGGTTTGAAGGGCTTCGGCGACAGACATAAATCCACGATTGTGCGTGGTTTCTGTCTGGGCTCACCGCTGGAGCGCCCCGAGCTGGCTGGTTTCGGGGCTAAGCCACCCCGTAGAGGTGGTGAAGAGGGGGAAGACCACCAGCAGGGTTGAGGAGACCTGCATCTCTCCTCCTCAGCTGGCCATTACTCCCTTTCCCGAAGGCGGTTGCAGCGGTGGTCAGAAATGGCCACCACAAAGGAGAACTCGACCGGAAAAGAATGTGCAGGAAGAAGATAAGAAGTGAAAGTTTTGGCTGACTGGGTTAAATTGTAAAAGCAACAACTAAGGTACCCTGGAATTTAAACTTACAGAAAATAACATCGCTCCCAAAGAAGAGTCGGAAGAAGCGAAGGAAAGTGAAAAGGGAAAGGTTTGGCTTTTTTTTCTTCTCTCTCCTTCCCTATACTGACAACTAAGAGACTTAAATAAGAAATCAGAAAAATCCGCTTTGACATCAATAGGGAATTAAGCTGAAAATAAAACAAAATGCCAAAGGGATAATAAAGATTTCTGGACATTAAAAATTTTCTTTTTCATAAGCAGGAAGGGAGAGAAAAAGAATAACCTTGTAACCTCCTTCTTTCTCTCTTCCCCCTTTCTTTTTCTTTCCTCTCCTTAATTCTTTCCCTCTCTTCCTTTCCTCTTTTCCTTCTTTTCCTTTCTTTTGCTTATTTGTGTATGTATTGTGACTGGTTTTAATTGTAAAAATTAATAAACTATATTTTTTTTAAAAAAAGAATCTACAGTAAAACTTCAACAAGACTTCTAAAAGATACATTTTAACTGAAACTTTGCAACTAAATAGTAACCCCACGAAGAGAAAGTGAAAAAAAAGAGCAAAAAAGAAACAGCTTGCGTGTATTTGGATTATTTGGTGATCTTTGGATTCTTGGTTATTATATTTGAATGACTAAAATCAATCAGGTGGTTGTTTAAAAATTTATACAATGGCACCACTTCTGGATGAATTGTAAATGGAACTTAAAAAGTACAAAGAAGATGCACAAGAAGGGAAGGGTTCTTTTGGCTTCGTTTTTCAATTCTTAGAAATGGAGATTTGGAACTATGAGAAACAACAAGAAACGACTGCAAAACAAGAAGACTGGGACAAAGAAGAAGCCATCTTTAATGAACAAGCAATTTTATGTGGGGAAGAAAGAAAGGGGGGAAAGAGAATGGAGAATTTAAGACTTAAAAAAACAACCAAAGAAAAGAAAAATAATTCGAAAAATAAGTATAATACTGGAAAGCAACAGAAGGGGGGAATACAGAAGAGAGAAATAGAGGTAGAGAGACAAGGGGGAAAAAGGGGAGAGAGAAGAAGAGAGGGAAGAAGGAAAGGAAAAGAAGTTACAAAGGACTGGAGCAAGATATAGAGAAACAGGACCTATTTAGAGATAATGGGTGAAAATCTAACTGAAAAAGGGATTCTGTAAAGGTACATAAGATTGTATTGTTATATTAGTAATAGAAATAACTTTAGAAAATTGGAAACAACGTATGATTAAAATGAGGGATAAAATAGTTAGTGTAATTTAGTGTAAGTTAGTGTAATTTGCTCAAACAGCCATAAGATGGAGCCAGAAACACGGGTTGTTAGTCTTAGTCAGTCTCAGAAGAGTTTGAGTCTCTGTTTTCCTGCTGTTGGAGAGTATTGCCGTTCTTCCTAATTGACTGTTATTCATGGATTTAATGTAAGTCTGTTACTGAAGTGTTTTTTGACACTGGACTTTGTTATTGGATTATCCTTTGACTGAAAACTGACTGATTTAACCAGACTTTGGACTGCCTATTTTGAATTTTGCTTATACGTTTCTGGAAGTAAAAACCTACATTTACTTTACAGTGTATCTGTGTGCTGTGTGTGTATTATTCAAACACTACTCTCAATATGTCTCCCTGTATGCGCTCCTTCTCCTAATGGGGAATTACCTCAACACCACTCATTTATGTACTTTTCCCACTTTCATTCTGGAATTATTTTCTGCCTTTATTTATTTATTTCCTAGCAAAACTAGGCTTTAAAACATATCTGCTGCTATCTTCCAATGAATGAAATCAATACATTGGCCAAAAGCAATGTAAGATAAATTGTTCATAATTTAATCAGTTCCATCCATTACATTTTCTTTTATATATATTGACAAGTGATATATTTAGAAGTACTCAGATTTTCCCCATTTTTTATTTACATTGTTTACAACAAACAACCCATTTGTCCAACAGATGTCAGGGTTTTTGTCATTTTAGTATAAAATCCAGAAATTATTCTGTGGAAAAACTATATCAACTATGATGAATGTTATTAGATATTAGATTATATATTCGAATAATTTGATCTTTTGTTGCTCATGCCAAGGTCCCTTAGCAGAAAGAAGCTGAAGAAGCTTCTTTGATGAGAAGCCAAACATCACTGATGAAAAACCAGAAAGTCCAGTTGCCTCTTGATAAAGCACCTTTGGGAAATCTGTTTACCAGAAAAAAACATAGGGACATAAAATCCCTGCTAGATCAGACAAAATGACCACTGTTCTTGCCAGAGTGCTTCTGGAAAGTTCACATAGAGAAGTTTCCCTATTCCACCCAGTAACTGATATTTAAAGCATGCTGAGTCTCACTGGAGAAGCATAGATTTCTGCAACCTGCTTCAGACTTACGTTGGTAACTGGATCATTTTCATTATCAGAAACACAAGCTTGAAGATTGAGACTAAGGGATTTGCACGTTATCATGATTTGCTTTGTCTCTTTTTCTTCAAAAGGTTTGAGCAATCGATCCATCTCTGTGAACTCCTTTCTTTGAATGTTCAAGCTCTAGAATTGGACATTGAGATAATTAGCTCTTTGAAATCAATATACAAAGCATCTTACAAATGTAGAAGAAAATAGGCTGTTTTGGGATACAGATGTATGATCAGTCAAGAGTAAATATCTAGCCTTGGAAGCTAGCCATACAGAATGACTTAAAGTAGAAATATATGCAATAAAAGCATTTAAAATTACATGGTTAGTAATTAATGCACTATGCTACTTGCTTTTATTCAATCTTTCTTGGCAATTAAAAGGAACACTTTACTTACAGCAATGTCAGGGTCTAAAGAAAAAAGGTTTAGCCGATCTACATTCCGACATTCTTGAACACTTTTTTCTGTTTCTGTGAGGTACTGCAAAGATAAGAATTTTCTGATATACAATCACTGTGATAGGTAAATGGATAAGAGGTCGATAAATGATAGATAATATAGATAAGTTAGATTATATAAATAGATAAATAATTATATATATACATATATACATACACACACACACAAATACACACACACACACACACACACACACACACA